AAATGTCTACTTCTAACATTCTAACTCCTGACCCTAATGATCCAATTTCTAACATTCCAACTTACAATCCTAATGATCCTACTTCTAACATTCCTACTCACAATTCTAACGATTTTACTTCTAACATTCCTACTCATGATCCTAACAATAAAACTAAGTGGTGTTCTCACTGCAAAAAATTTAAATTAGTTAATGAATTTATAAGATTCAGTGGAAATAACATTAAAGAGTTTGCTCTATGCAATAATTGTGTTGAAACGGATAGAATAAAGAGGAGAGAAAAATGGCATAGAGACATATTGCCTGATGAAAGAAATATTTCGATGCCCACTGATGATAGTGACAACTAAAGTAGTGAGGATGATCTAATTTACAATATAAGTTATCTCGAAGAACTTATAGCCCTCAAATTTAGAGAATATGAAGAACTAGATGACAATGTTAGTTTTTCAATAATCGTAGAAATTGAAAATGAAATGGTGGATCAAGAAATTTTATCTTTAGAACCTGGTCAAGATATAGAAAATAAAAAATTTTGCACTCTAGCAAAAACGTTGCTCATATCTATTCAAAAGAGATCCAGATACTATTAGAAAATTCGAAATTTGTACTCTAATATACAAGACAGTCAATATATAGGGTGCACAACAGCTCGTTTATGTTGTCTCAAAGGTAAGATTTTAAATTTTGTCATCTAAAAAAATTTTACATGAAAAACATATAAAATTTTTTTATAAATATTCAAAAAAAAACCCTGCCAATAATAAATACAGTAAAGCCTTTATAAATACATCTCCCATAAGTGCACATCTACTCTATATGCATACACAAACTTGGGTCTAGCTATATAGGTAATCTCAATAAATGCACTTTTTCTTATTGTTCTCTAAGTGCATATTAAAGTTCGCTTCTAGGAGTATGCACTTATAGAGGTTTTACTGTATAATCAAAATATTAAAATTTTGCAAAATTTAACCGGCAGGTTATAAAATCCAATTAAGTTTGTAATCCTTTATCATTTGAATCTTTTTATCGATCGTCTAACATATCATCATATTGTTTCAAAAGCTTTTCTAAATGCGTTTGCTTTTTTGTCTATATTTCTTGTTGAGGATTGGATGATACTAAAATTTAGTAGTC